TTTGTCATGTTTTATTAACAGAGACTTGTACTACGTTCGGATACACTGATGTAGGTTTGTCATGTTTTATTAACAGAGACTTGTACTACGTTCGGATACACTGATGTAGGTTTGTCATGTTTTATTAACAGAGACTTGTATTACGTTAGGATACACTGATGTAGGTTTGTCATGTTTTATTAACAGAGACTTGTACTACGTTCGGATACACTGATGTAGGTTTGTCATGTTTTATTAACAGAGACTTGTACTACGTTAGGATACACTGATGTAGGTTTGTTGTGTTTTATTAACAGAAACGAACAGAGACTTGTACTACGTTAGGATACACTGATGTAGGTTTGACTTGTATTACGTTAGGATACACTGATGTAGGTTTGTCATGTTTTATTAACAGAGACTTGTACTACGTTCGGATACACTGATGTAGGTTTGTCATGTTTTATTAACAGAGACTTGTACTACGTTAGGATACACTGATGTAGGTTTGTTGTGTTTTATTAACAGAAACGTTGTACTACGTTAGGATACACTGATGTAGGTTTGTCATGTTTTATTAACAGAGACTTGTACTACGTTAGGATACACTGATGTAGGTTTGTCATGTTTTATTAACAGAGAGTTGTACTACGTTAGGATACACTGATGTAGGTTTGTCATGTTTTTATTAAATTGCTGAGTGGTAGATTTAATATTTTCAATATGATAGTCTTATTAATTGATATAAACTTCATATCAGATCAAGCCTACTACTTGGGACACAGCTAAAAGATAGGGAGTATAACTAATTGAACATACTGTTCTTAGATTTCTACTTATAAAAATTGTTTCCTTAGTTGGGCACTCTCATTGTTTTCAGTATTTTCGGCCGTAAACCCAATAATATCTCTCAAGGTTCGGCTACCTTAGGAGATTTAGCTTTTCCTCAGTCTATATTATAAAGTATACTAAAAATAACAGTAATTAAAAGAAATATTAGAAATAGATATTCTAAGCATTATAATTATTGATATTGATGAAACTAGCATTAAAAAAAGAATAGAGTGTACCTTAACTACGAAATATAACAACACTAGTTAACAAATAAATATATTTACAAGGCACAGTTGTATTTGTTCGATTCGTGATTTTTCGGTAAAGTCTTTACTCATTGACATAATATATTTAATATATTAATATCTTTGACATAATATATTTTACTTTGTTTTCATAGCAACCATTATCAATCATTCTCTAGAAGTTTCGTGTTTGCGTCTATTCTAATTTTATTAATAATTTCTGTTTAATGTTCCTATCTTGAAAACTTTACGTTTCTTTCTTTATCCACTGTGTTGTAAACTTGGGGGATAATATCATGGTTAGAGTTCTTGAAGATCTCGTGCTCAGTTATTTATCGATAATATTAAATTCACGAACTTCTAATCTGTACGACTTATGGACTGACACATGAATAGGGGAACTTGTCATATTATTGATGCTCTCTTCTTACAATCTCCCGATGCTGTCTTTTTGGCATTTTAATATATTTTTATGAAACACACGATGAACGAAACTCAAAATATTACCCCTGTGGAGACGATGAACCTTGGTTTAATAGCAAGAGCTTCCCC